TTCAGTGGAGGATCACTTTGAGTCAAAATCAACTCTTTTTCATTTTGAAAGCATTTTCATGGCCTCTTCTCTCACTTTGTTCAAGTGTCTTTTCACATGTCATCCAATGATCCCCTCATCTTATCTCATCTCAATTATTGTCTGAATAATTAATATTCACCTGAGCAGTTTAAATTGAGTGTTTCTTTCTCATTTTTCTCTCCCCTTAATTGCATTATTTTTATCAAGGCAATTTTCTGATACCATTTTATTTATGTTTTCTTATTGACTTCCCTCTTTACTTAAATCTAAGCTTCTTAAGGCCAAAGACCATGGACATCTTCTTCTACATTATTATCTCTGTACCCTATAACATAATTTTTGCAAAGAATACATGCTCAGTAAACATTTTTTAAATCAATAAATTTATTAACTCAAAGCACCAAAAATTAGCAGATTAAACATGTACTCTAGTTCTCCTATTCTCATCGCTTTTCATTTTTTAGCCTCATTGCTCACAGGATCTTCTGACTTGGAAAGTACATACAATTCACACACTCACGAAGTCATATATATAAAGGAAAGCTAAAAATGAGTCTTAATATTTAATTTCATTGTTTTGGTTGTATCTTCTTCACCAATGGCTCTTAGTAATCCTTGGTCACTAGAACGTTATATTAGAACTATCAGGACATCAGAACAATACAACAAGTGGCACTGCTGTAACCAGTTAGTATAAAGGAAGTTCAGAGGAGTCTAATAATAATAATAATATAATAATAGCTAAAGGAGACTTGATGGCATATTGTTTAAGTACTGGCTTCTAATGGAAAGGGTGACTATACGCCACCGGTGGAGGAAAAATACCTGGAGAGATTTTTCCATTGAAATATTTCCATCAGAAACCCTATGGGGCAGTTCACCTCTTACGGAGTCACTTGAGTCAAAATCAATTCAACAGCCTCTAACAACAAAAAATATCTAACAACTACTTAACTTACCATAATCCAAAATAAGGCTATATATTTATTTCATAATCCAATAACACATATTGCTACTGAGTAGATTCTGACTCATAAAAAATTTCCTTCTGGTTTTGAAGGCTTATAATCTTGATGGGAGGAGAGCCATCTTTCTTCAGTGACTGTTGTATTTCAACCAGCAACCCTTCAGCTAGCAACACAACACATGTAACAAATTATACCAAAGACTGTTGGCAAAGAATCATAAATAAATTATGGATTGACAAAGAATTTAAAAACTCTGCCTTGGAAGAAAGTACAGCCAGCATGTTCCTTAGAAGCAAGGACAAGGGGAGCTCTGGTGGCCTAGTGGCAAGGAGCTGCAACTACAATCCCAGAGGTGAACGGTTCAAATCCACCAGATGCTCTGCCGGGGAAGGAGGGACAATCTCCTCCTGTACCAGTCAGATCTGATTTGACGGTACATGCACACAAAAATAATAAAATTTAAAAAAAAAAAAAAGAAGCAAGGACAGAGAAGGTTTTGTTGTTGTTGTTGGGTTTTGGGTTTTGTTTTTTTGGTTTGGTGTTTTGTTTGTTTTTTGGTCTGGTAGTTTTAGATATGTTATTAGATGGAACCAATCTTTAGAAAAGGACAACATGCTTGGAAAAGTTCAGAATCAGCAAAAAGGGGAAGACCCGCCATGAGATGCAGTGATGCAGTGACTGTGGCAATGAATTTAAGCACTACAGATATTATGAAGATGGCATAGAATTGTTCATTCTGTTATATAAGTCAAAATTTCTGAGTTAGATTGGACTCAATGGCATGTACCAAGAGATTTTGTTATTATTAGGCAGTGTAGAGTCACAGGGAGCTCATAGCTGACCGTCAAGCAGATTTTCCGAGGCAGTAAATTGCATAAGAGGAGATTGCCCATCTTTCTCCCACGGGGCAGCTGGTGGGTTTGCATGCGTTTGGGTTTACAGCACAACTGCTTACCAGTAAGCCAACAGAGCTCCCTAACCTTACAACAGTCATAATAGAAAGAGTGATATCCTCATTTTAAAAGGAAAAAAACGTGATCTGGGGAGAGGGAAAGAAGGGAGAGGAAGTAAAATATGCAGGAATGAATGGATGAAAATCTAACTTTTCTGTAAATGTTTGTTAAAATCACAATTAACGCAAAAATGGTTTATTTAAAAAAATAAATATGAGAAACACAACCTAGGGTCCTTAGGTGATTTTTCTGAAACCACAAATCTTTATCATAACTTCAAACTCTATGTTTTTGATTTTCTGACTACCAACGTTGATATGATAGATGCTTTCAAATTATGTCTGTTGGAAAAGTTAATAAACTAATTCAATGTGTCATTTTTGAAAAATTAGAATAAGATTTAGTTTCATTTATTACTGTTAGGCTCTACAGAACTGCTAAGATTTTTCTGATAGATTACATCAAACAGTTATGCTGAATTTAGGACAGATATGTGTGAGGTTTAACTAGACTAAAAAATAGTAACATACATGCACCAATATGTACCGTATTTGAAAAATGAGAGGGCACTATGAGAAGGGGCAACTGAATATATAAAACAGATGAGGAACATTTTTTCATGTGTTTATTGGCCGTCTGAGTGTCTTCCTCTGTGAAGAGTTTTCCATGTCTTTTGTCTGACTTGTAATTGGGTTATCAGTCTTTTTCTTGGGGAGGCTTTGTAGTATTACTAAACTTTTGATATGAGACCTTTTCTGAAATGATGTTGTCAAATGTTTTTCTCCTCCAATCAGTAGGTTTTCTTTTTACTCTATTGGAAAAAGTTTTCGATGACCATAAGGTCTTAAGAGATGCAAATCAAACCAAAATGAGATACCATCTCATCCCAGCTCAGTGTCAAAGTGTAATAAGACAGTAAGCAATAAGTGTTGGAGAAGATATGGAGAGATTAGATCATTGATACACTGTTGATAATACTATAAAATGGTACAATCACTCTAAAAGGCAATTGGGTGTTTCCTAAAAAAGCTAAACAGAGAGATTTCACGTGGCCCTGCTAGTCCACTGGTAAGAATATACCCCAAAGAAAATAGAATTGAGACAGAAATTTGTACACTTATGTTTATAACAATATCATTCACAATAACAAGAATGTTGAATCCAAATGTCCATCAGCACATGGCTGGATAGAGAAATTGTGGTATATTCACACGATGGAATACTATACAGTACTGAGGAGCAATTTCAAAAAATATTACATAATATGAGAGAGTCTAGCGAGCATTATGCTGAGTGAAATAATTCAGATAGCTCATAAGGAGAAATACTGCATAATACCATTATTATAAAAATAGAAGGATAACTGTTGCTGTTGCTGTTGCTGTTGTTGTTATGTGCCATCAAGTCACTTGCGACTCATTGCAAAGCTATGTACAAAAGCCCTAAACCTTGGTCTATCTTGTGCCAACCTCACTGTCTCTGACACACCTATTCACATTACCCCAATCACTGAATCAATCCATCTCATCGAGGGTCTTCCTCTCCTGTGCTGTCCTTCCACCCTTCCAAACATGATGTCCCTCTCCAAGGACCGGTCCCTCCTTGCAATATGCCCAAAGTATGTCAGACAAAGCCTCAGAATTCTTAACTCCAAGGAGCAGCCCAGCTTCAGCCTCTGCAGGACAAACTGTTCTCCTAGTACTCCATGGTATAGTCAACACTCTTCTCCAGCAACACAGCTCAAAGGCATCAATTCTCTTTCTATCATCTCTAGTCACTGTCCAGCTCTCTTATGCATAGCACACAATTGTGAAGACCATGGCCTGAATCAGGTGCACCTTAGTCTCCAGCCTGACATCATTGCTCTTCAGTACTCTGGAGAGATCTCTGACAGTTGACTTTCCCAGTGCAATTCATCTCTTGATTTCCTGGATGCTGGTCCCAAGAGTGTTCATTGTGGAGCCAAGCAAACTGAAAATTATTAAGAATTTCAATCTCCTCACCATCCATAATGATGCTGCTGAGTTGCCCAGTGGTGAGACTTATTGTTTTCTTGATGTTGAGCTTCAATCCATATTGAAGGTTACAGTCCTTGACCTTCTGAAGCAAGTGCTTCAGGTCCTCCTCAGGTTCAGCAAGCAGGGTTGTGTCATCTGCATAACGCAGGTTGTTGAAGAATCTTCCTACAATTTTGATGCGACACTTCTCCTAGTAAGGTGGTATACAAATGTTCAAAGAGGGAAGGAGAAGGGACATGATAGGAAAGGGGGAGGAATTATAGGGCTGCATATTTTCGTGGGTGGAGGGAGTGGTGAAGGAATTAGGAGAGATCTAGTGGATATCTAAAAAGATAGGATAATAGTGGGAGTAGATCAATGGTGTTTCATTTTATAACAGACACTGTATGGGAATGATCATATGAAACATAAAGTGAATCAAAAATAAATACCTGTTTTAAGACCACATAAGAAGAAAAAATATTTATGTCCATTGCTGTCAAGATAAATTCTGACTTGTAGAGACCTTACAGTACAGAGGATTTGCAAGGAAGTGGACTGCCACATCTTTCTTTCTCCAATGCAAGAGAAAAATTTCTGCCAATGAACCACCATTGCTCTCTTGCTGTATATGAGGTGGTGTGATTACGATGGCAATAGCTAATAAAGAAGGGAACAATAAAATATTTAACTATTGCAATATTAGTTTGCTTGACTTATTGGACAAATTGATAATATTGAAAGGTACTTTCATATTTGCTTGACTAAATCCCCTACCTGTTTTCAATTAAATAAGAAGTACAGATGGATTGTACTGCATATTAATTTGTCTTGCTTTGGAAACTGGCTTTTAAAACCGAAACAAAAAATGCAATTGCATTGAAATGAACAATGAGGAAGTACAGTGGTTCAGGAAGGAAAATGTTAAATTAAATGGACTATGTGTAACATTGTTGTTGATCCTGAGGAACAGTTTTTCCAGTATATGGAGCATTTTGATTCCATCCAGCATATGTTCTCCACAGTTTTCTCTGCTCTAATTCATCTGTGCTTGTCGACAGCTCCAGATGGCGTGCTGCCTCCGAGGCTTTCATCTGCCACTCCAACCAGTCTTCAGGTTGTCTGGTCTACACCAGTTCGCAACAACGCTCCCGGCTCCCCCAGATACCAGCTCCAGATGAGGCCTGGCGGCTCCACCCACGAATTTCTAGAGTGAGCATTCTGTTTTGTTCACCCTGCCGACTGTTATCCAGGTGTCCAGTGCAGATCTAATGGGAATTACCTTAATTTTCAAAGATTAGCTTAATTCTCATTGCAACAAGTATAAGATAATTTTTTAAAATTCAAACAAGTAAAAACATAAAAAACTGAGATAAAATAATCTTTACTTGTGTAAAGGCAATTATTCTTCTTTTCATCTGTATAATGTGAAAAAGATTTCTTCATACTAATCTAGTAGAATACTTCATGAGAAGTCTAAAAAATTATAATATTCATACAAATTCCTCCTAACAGTCATCTCAGTAGTACATAATTTATATAAAATGATATTACAAACCCTTAGGCAAATAGCCACTTATGTTGGAGGAGATACAACTCAGAAACACAAAATTGCAGTGTTTGAATGCATGTTGACTTTCCCTGGAAATTCTTTGCATTGAAATTCTTTTTCTTTTTATCTCTCTGACTTCTTCATTAACATTTCTTCTGCATATAGGTTATTTTCCAATCCTTCTGCATCATTAAGCTATGAAGTGAAAGATCTCCAACCATACACGGAATATGAGTTTCGGCTGGTCGCCTCCAATGGGTTTGGCAGTACGAGTAGTTCTTGGATTCCATTCATGACCACAGAGGACAGTAAGTAAACTGAACAGTATACAGCCAAATGTCCTCTACACTGGAACGTTCTAACCATCTTCAGTTTCCCCAATGCATAGAATGAATCTCTCCATTTCTTTAATATTTAGTTTAATAATATTTTCTGGGGGCAAGGAAAAAAATCTCCTGACAGAATGAAAAAATTGAAATTCTGGAGATATAAGCCTACAGACAGAAAGGAGTAATTAATTGTAAATGATGATATAGCTCCATTCTATCCAAGGTACATTTCAGTTCCATACAAGAGACAGACCATCTTTTCAGCTCTGTGAACAAATGTAACAGCATTTGCAGTTTTGGAGGAATTCTGGCATGGAAACAGACTCCATCGTGCCTTTAGTTGAACCTGAGAGCCTGCCTCTGGCATAAAGTGCAACTTGACAGCCATGCTTCTGCATGTTTTGCAAAAGACAGATTTGTTGCTGTTATGTGCCATTGAGTTAAGTGACTCATAGTAAACCTATGAATAACAGATAAGAGCCTGGTCGAGTGTGTCATTAAATGCACTACATCTCATGGTTACCCCCTATAAACCTTGCCCTATCCTGTGCCACCCAATCTACACCATTCATATGATCTTCACTATGGCCAGGTGATAAGGAGCTGTGCTGCAATCCTAAAAACATGCAGCTCAAATCCACCAGCTGCTCCGCAAGAGAAGGATGGATAAACTCCTCCCATGTGATTTACTCTCTCTGAAAACCCACTTGAGGGTCAGCTATGGGTTGATTCCAACTCGAGGTACACAACAACAAAATGCCTAGCATACCTAATTCCACTGTTGTAGTCAGTTCCCCAATCCATCTCATTTACAATTTTTCCCTCTTTTTGACCCTCTCGGATTTTTTCCCTGCATGATGTCCTTTTCCAAGAACTAGACTGATATTTCCAACTATAGATTGTGTTTTCTTTATTTAACTAATAAGGGGATTTTTCATTAAAAAATAGTTTTCTGCATATATATGTTTTACTAGGTTATGCATGTAAAATCAATGTATGGTCATGATGTCCAGTTTCAAGCAAATGATCTCTACAAAAGGTAATTTAGAAATATATACCTTTTTTGGAAGTTGGAGATTGATTCAGTATTCACAGAGATAATGTAGATACTAACTCTTTGGATACTGAGACTTACAGACTTGACTTGGTCAAGCTTTTAATCAATCATTCCTTCATTCCTTATTACTATCAAGTGGCAAATGACTCATCGCTGACTCTCCAGTAGACTTTCAGAGACTGTATATATCACACGTGAGGACATTTCTATGTTTTGTTCTGTGGTCAGAGCTGCGATGCCTCTATTTCCAATGAGACCCTAAATAATGGTCAAAAGGCTAGATACTAATTTAAAAAAAATCATGGTATTTAAAATAATTTGAATTCTATACAAAATTGTATTTTTTATGTTTTATAAAAGAACCCTGGCATAACGTATCAGGCTAACTGAAAGTTCAGCAGTTTGAATATGCCAGCTGTTCCTTGAGAGAAAGGTAAGTATTCCCCTTCTACAATGATTTGTGGCCTCAGAAACCCAATGGAGGGTAGCTATGAGTTGGGCTGGATTTCACAGCACTGAGTTTGTGTTTCATTCTAATCATACTATTTGGAAATAGATATTATATGAGACATATAGAACTTTTTATCTTTTTAATGCTTATATCTTTTAAAAAATATATTTTAAACAAATATGTGCTACTAACCTTCATTTTCAGATGTGCTCAAATATTCCCCGAGAGTAAGTTGGACACCCTACGAGGGCACATGCAGCAGTCATTTGACTCCCACAATACCAATTAGCAAACTATATAATAAACAGCACTGGATGCCAAGGAAGTGTTAATGCAGTATTCAAGGATAGTGCACATAATTACAGCACTCACTGTGAACTGAAAGGTTGGTGGTTCACACCCACTCAAAGGTACCTTCAAAGAAAGTCCTAGTAATCTAGCTACAGCCAATCAGTGTCAAAAATCTCATGTAATACAGTTCTACCTGGCTGAATATGGAATAGCCATAAGTCAGAAACAACTCAGCAGAAACTGGTACAACACTACTGTCCTTGTTTTAGAGGTGACAGTACACGCACTCTGAGGAATCTATACTGTGATAATCAATTATAATATGCATTTGTGACATTAAATATGGAGAAATTTTCAGGAAATATTTATGCAAGTAAAGATTATTTTATTTCCTACTTGGCAATAGCATCAAGTTTGGTGGGACTCAAAACCAGATTACCTAAAACTGGTATTCAGCCGAGAGTGAAAGCAATGACTCAATAGAATGCTACTTTGGAAAAGGAGAGAAAGCTCTCCCCATCTTTATTATCTTTTTTTTGCACATGCAGTACCTATTCCCACATAGAAAGGGCAACACTTGAACTTCTTCAGTGATAATCTGGCCACAATTTGTATTGCTGGAACTTCTTATCTCCAGGAAAAATGGTAGCATGTAAATAAAGTTCAAAACATTGCAAAGCATCAGTTATCACAGCGTCAACCTACAGACCATGCCAACCAGCTGTAGAAGTCGTATTAGTTGCTGTGTAGTTGATGCTGACTCCTGCTGACCTCACTGTGCACAATGGAATGTTCTATAGGGTTTTCTAGACTGTGACTTTTCAGAAGCAGATAGCCAGATCTCTCTCCTGAGGCTGTTCTGCCTGGATTTGAGCTGCTGATGTGTTAGCAGGTCATAGATCATTTAACCAGTTGAGCCACTAGAAACTGAAAGGAAATCTTACAGACAAGAAAGTCCATGGTTAGAATTTTCATTGTCAAGGATACTGCCCTCTCTGTGGTTTTCAGATAATTAAGCTTGAATTGTACAAGACTGAGCCTTCCGCATCCTCAAATAAGAATTAGCAACATTCGATTACATAGCACGGGTCAGCTTAAACCCAACCCTCATTGTATTTAAATAAACCAGTTGCCCTGTAGTTGACTGATTCATGGCAACCGTCCTGTGTCAAAGCAGAACTATAGCAGTTGGATTTTCAGTGATGGTTTTTCAAAACGTAAGCCTTTCTTCTGAGACACCTTTGGGTAGACATGAACTTCAAGCCTTTCAGTTACTAGCCCACTGTTTTAGGCATTTACACCACCACGAACTCCTTCATTCATGTGCTTCTCCTCAAACTGACAAATCCATCTTTCCTGTGTTTTGTGTGCACATTGTGCAGTCCTCAATGTCAGCAACAAACCAGGAGGTTGCCACTTTTCCTTCCAGGTTAAGTCTCCAGTGCAGGCTCACCACGGAGATGAGGGGATAGTGCGCTGTATATTTAGGGTGTCAGGGAAGATGGATGCCATCTGTAAGAGGATGCGCAATTGAGTTGACAAAGACTGAATGATTGGCATTGGGCACAAGCAGTTTTTCTGTCAAGACTTCAAAGTATTGCTTATAAAACCACCCAGGCTGACAGCTCCATGCTGGAATTGCACTTTATATTTGATCCTGACCAGCACCTCTTGCTCACCAAAGTACAATTTCCAATGTAGAAATTTCACATATCATTTTACAGGATGAAAGAGAGACATCACCTCATGCCCACGTTTGAATTTCACACCATCATTGGGCCCCTTTATGCATCAACCACAGGCTCAAGACTTCCTTGTGCCCAAAGAGGTCATCCATGGCAATTTTTTTTTTAGTTTGAGGTTTCAAAACAGTAATTTTCATCAATTCTGTGACAATGTGAAGATCAAAAAAAAAAGAAACAAAAGAAATCTAACCATGAAATAAGCTCCAGCTAGAGATGCCAATGTCTGGGTACACAGGGAAGTATGCAGAGGTAAACAAAAGAGCTGTGAGGAATTTTAATAGACTTTTTAAAAGAAATGTCATTTGCATCTCTGTTACCAATATACAGTTCCACGCATTTTAAAAAATCTTCTGTGCTGATGCCAAATAATAATAATAATGAATAAATACATATTTCCTGGATATATTTAAAATTCTGCTAAATGTGTGTGAATAAAAGACAGCTGTTCCAGCCAGCTTGATCAGGATAATATTTGACTAAATTCAAATAACATTGGATTTTTGTTCTTGTTGTTGCGTACCTCTATGTCAGAACTGACCCCCACAAGCAGGTATTCGAAGGCAGTCAATCACACCACAGGGAAGGAGATTGTCTATCCTTCTGCAGAACACCTGGTGGATTCAAACCCCGTGCTTTTGGGATTGTAGCACAGCTTTTTATCACTAGCCCCACCAATGCTTCCCAATGGCGTCTAATAGTTCAAGCTCCTGGCAGGTGAAAAGGTTGCAGAGACACCTCAAGATGTGTTAAATCTGGTAACACGTAATTAGTAAAAGGAAAACATTTATATAGCAGTAGAAAATTTTGGTATCTTTAAAACAGATATAAACATTATTTCTTATTAGATTTGTGTTCTTTCTGATCTTGTACTTGAAAATCTTTTCTGTGAAGCATGTCATGTGCAAAGTATAGTTGGCAAGGAAGGGATATTTCTTTCCATTTCAGTTTAAAATGTACAGGTACTTATTTTGACACTATAGTGTCAAACATACTGTAATCTAATTCTTCTTTTGAGGTTTGGATTCCCTAGGTTAAGTCTGCTTCTTTCAAGATTTTCCAGAAAAATGACATGAAAATATGTCATATCTAATTATCTCAGCTATTTTAAGACAAACAGATATGGCATAAATGAGGAATTAGACCAGCTAAAATAAATTGTTTTACCATAAAAATCACACCCCTACTTAAAAAAAAATGAATGATTATAGAGATTAATTAGCTGACATGCATTTCTCAAAAGAATTTATTATAGAGACTTAAAAGTTGTCAGATATTTTATTTTTATTTTTATTAATTTCAATGAAAATTTACAGAGACTGGATTTCCATTCATCCATTGTTGCACTTTTCTCTCTTCCCAGCCCTTCCCTATTGTACACTACCATCTTGTAAAAGCAAAAGAAAAATTCTTTAATTGGTTTACAATCCCTCCCTTT